TTTTTTTAACTTTTTTTCGGAATATCTTTCTTTTCCAGTGCGGTGACCCTACGTTTTTTTTATATTTGTTTTATAAAGAAAAGTAAATATACTATTGAACTCTTATGAGATAAAAAAAAACAACAACAATGCTTTTCAATATAAAAAAGGTAGCATACGCTATAAATTTGTTACTTTGGGATACCATACGGCATATTTTGTTAATAGTGAAAAAAAAGGTAAGACATACTACACAGAGGAACAAGTGATCAGTTTGCTGGAGTTTTTTTTATTGACAACATATTTGTTGAGTTTGGAGGTAGACGTTTTCAACAAATTGTCGGCATTCCTACGGGAAGGAACTCTGCGTCTCTCCTTGCCGACCATTTCTTATTTTCATATGAGTCGGAGTTCCTTTAGACACTTGTCAAAAACAAGAAGACCAAAGAAGCCAGATCATTTAATTTCACATTCAGAAATATAGATGATGTTCTTTCCATTAATAATCCAAACTTTCCTGATTGGGTTCCATTAATATATCCTCCAGAATTATAAATAAAGAAACAACAGACACGGCTTCCTCCGCCTCATTTTCAGACTTATACCTCGAATTTGACATAAGCGGTCATCTCAGTACCAGAATCTATGACAAAGGAGACGATTTTAATTTTGAAATTATCCACTTTCCCCACCTTAGTAACAATATACCAACTTTACCTGCATATGGGATAGACATTTCCCAACTCATTCGGTATTCAAGAGCTTGCAACTGCTGCTCAGACTTTGTAAAACGTCATCAGTGTCTGAGCAGAAAGTTATTGAACCAGGGTTTTGTAAAAGAACGTCTCGTCCTTTTTCTAAGAAAGTTCTTCGGAAGATACCAAGACCTTGTTGAAAAATATTCCGTATCAACTTCACAAATTATACATGATGGTCTTGAAGTATAGATTCTATGTACTGACGTTGTTGATCAGCGTAATTACGTGTTTTAATGTTCTTTTATGTGTCTTTGTAAATTATTAACCTTTATTGTTTAGTTCATTTTTGGTAATATCCTTTTGGCGTAGCTCGGTAGTTATACATCCCGCCAATGTGTTATTGTGATATGGTGATTTGTTGTATTCTTGTCTTTCATATTTGCTTCTGTGTTTATTCTATATGCCATTTTGTTTTCCTTGTTGACATATTTGTTTGTTTTTATAGTGATCAAGATTTTAACACAATTGTGACTGCTGTACTCCGACTTTTGACATGTTTACCTGTTATGTCTGTTTGTTTTGTTCAAATATTGTTGTCAATATAATGGAATGTTATGCGACTGTCATACAAGTGAGAGGTTTAGCTAGTTATAAAACCAGGCTTAATCCACTATTTTCTACATAAGGAAACGCCTGTACCAAGTCAGGAATATGACAGTTGTTTTCCATTCGTTTGATGTGTTTTAGCATTTGATTTTGCCATTTGATAAGGGACTTTCCGTTTTTAATTTTCCTTGGAAGTCGGTGTGTTTGTTATTTTACTGTTTGGTCATTTGTTTTTAATTACTAGCATTTCACCATAAAAAGGCTGGAAAGTTGTTCTACAGAAGATGACAATATCCATTATAAAGTTTCTGCAAACAATAAGGTTAACAAAAGAATCAATTTTTAAGTAAATCGGAATTTTTATAAAATTTTACCTTGCGAAAAACTACATGTCCCGATGAACAAATTTTCGAAAAATATGGCGTTTTCAATTGAAAACGAGATCGGTGACCCCATTTTTTTACTGGCTTCTTGTAAAATTTTTACCACGACTAAATTGGAAATTAAAATTTTAAGAAAATATCAGTTATAGATCTGAATAGAAGGATTTGTAATTACATATATTATTTTTGGACAAGAACAGTTAATATCATATTTTATGATGAATATTATACATTTATTTCCTGTGCATGAGAGAGATATGAAGATTTGTTTACCCAAGAAGATTCTTATTTCAAAGGGCTGTGCCCGAGGGAAATATGATTTTTCGAGGGTGAACAAATCTTCATATCTCCCGAAGCCAAGGGAAATTAATGTTTTATTCCACTGCCTATCCTTTGCTTACTACCTGAACATAAAATATTAATGTAAAAATTTTTTTTCTTTTCCGCTTGTTTTTATAACTAAACAAGACATAAAATTTAATAAACAGTACCGATCAAAAGTTAATTATTAGTCTTTTTGTTTTAACGTCTGAAATAAATTTGAACACGATAATTACTTTACTATATAGATATAAGAAGATGTGGTATGAGTGCCAATGAGACAACTCTCCATCCAAGTCAAAATTTAAAAAAGTAAACCATTATAGGTCAAAGTACGGTCTTCAACACGGAACCTTGGCTCACACCGAACAGTAAGCTATAAAGGGCCCCAGAAATTACTAGTGTAAAACCATTCAAACGGGAAAACCACCGGTCTAATCTATTTAAAAAAACGAGAAACGAGAAACACTTATGAACCACATCAACAAACGACAACTACTGAACATCAGATTCCTGACTTAGGACAAGTGCAAACAAATGCAGCGGGTTTTAATGGTACCAAACTTTCACCCTTTTTCTGAAACAATAGTGTAACATCACAACATAGAAAGACACACTATAAAACATCAACTGAAATAGCTTAACTCAATCAAAGGACATATGAACACCAGTGAACATACATTGAACAAATAAATTTGACCTATGATACAATGTAAATACAAATTAAATAAATAAACTAAGGGAAGAATAATAAAAGTAACATATTAAATGTTAAACAAATTAAGAAAAACAATATGCTCGAACAAAAATATCAGCCATTTGCAATAACTTTAAACATAGGTAAATGAAAATAATTTTATTGTTAGGTATACGTGTACAGTTCCAATAGAGAAAGGAAATATTTTTACAAAATAAATAATTTTGATGTTCATAGTACGAAGTGAAAATTTATAGTAATACCACACACTTATCAAAGCTGGAATATAGACCAGATATAACCCTGAATAACATTAAGTAACAAAAAAGCAATACAATTAGTATCAACAGGTCAAATAAACAAGAAAGTACGATTTGAGAGTACTCGCAGTTACTGACAGCTAGTTAAAAGCCAAATTAATTAATAATAAAAAACCATGCATCAGAGACTAAAATCAACTAAAACACATCCCAGGGATTTAGTGCTTTAACGTCATGGACAGTCAAAGAAGACATGACTTGTGCAATGCCAAAAATATCGCTATTTTCAAGAGAAAAAAAAAAAACGTTCAAAACGCGCGTAACGTCGCACAATGAGGTCCCGATTTTCAGATGAGATTACGATGTACAGAGGGGAATATGATGCTAAGAGAAGAATATGAAGTTTGTACATATAGGGGAATAATATTCATCAAATGTTGTTCCTCATTGAATATAAATACAAGTATTACATGTTGGTCTTCACCCTCAAGGTCTTCCTCCGACCGGCAGTAAAACCCTTGCTAAAGTGGGGCGTCCGTTTGACTGTGCGGGATGTATAAATTTGCAGCCATTGCGGTCAGAATGGGGACGTTAAATCTGATGCCTCGTGTAAAGAGAGTGCCACGCTCTTTGCACGTTAAGAACCCTTGCAACAACTCTTTGAGGGGTCCGTAGGTGACCTGTTGCAAAGCTAAATTTCTGTCCCTATCCTGTATTCCCTCATTTCCCGTAGCAGTCTAAATTTCGCCGACCTTAACCCCGGACGCCCCTATTACAGAACATACCTATTGTATTTATTGTTAATTTGTTCTCGTTCTGAATATGCATGAAATATTTGCCACTGGACGTTAAGCAACCAACAATCAATCAATCAATCATGTTGGTCTTCAACACCTTGTTAATTTCGGATAGTATTTGTTTTATATCTTTGATTCGGCATTCAGTCTGAGGCTCACGAATTTTTCAGGCATACAAAAATTCCATGTACTTATGACACTTCTGAAAACATGTTTGAATCTATCGTACGATAACGACTGTACAGTATGCGATTACTTATAAAAAAAGAAACGGAAATCCTTATTAGCAATTTGTCTCATGTTCGTCGGACTAAAGAGTAAGTCAAAACTTTAAATAAAGTATATGTTAGTCATGGAACACATACTTCAAATTAAACTGTGCCAGGAAAGGGCATTTAAGTGTATGAAATAACACATCTCTCTAAATAATTATGTAATTGTTTTAACTATAATAATGATTGTTATTCTTTGTCCTTCTTTGTTGAAAAATCGGCTCCTTTCATGAATATCCCAAATGAAATGCAATTTATAAATATGTCCACACAAATAAGAACAGTGATTGCCACAGAGGTACTCGAATGTGTCCATTCAGATACAAAAAAGTTAAACATTAATAACAACACATCAAAAACTACGTCAAATAATCTGTATATCGCAATAAAACGTTTAAAATATCCTTGCCAATCATTCCTTGTTACTTTTGCTGCGAATCCATTCATCAACGAAAATGTCACAACTGCATAGTATAAAACATTATACAGCAATATAGTACTAAATAGGCCGATAGCAGTCCCACTTTTTCTGTACGAAGTTCTATTTGTGCTGCAAACAATTAAAAATCCTGTAACATTAACTAGTAACCCAAATGATGTTCGAATCAATAAAACTTTTAACTTTCGTTTTTCTTTTTTGGGTACCTCTAGCGATATTTTATTTCGATTGATTTTAGACTTTCTCCTAAATATGGAAGGTTTTCTGATAACATGCCCTCCATCAGACACAGGAGAAACATTTTCATACAGAGCGAGAATAACAGCACAAGAAATATCCAAGAAAGAGTCCAAACAACACATCTTGTTTACAAGTTTTATCGGCAAACAACAACACTATTAATGGCGGCATATATGCAGATACATGCACTAAGAGATAGGAATTAGATCGATATTGGACTTTGTCCTTATATCCTTTAAATAAACATTTCGATCGGAGAGATATGGGGAGATTTAAATACAACTTAACGTATTCGCGGAACCATTGAATTTCTGTAAACTAAAACTACTGACTACCATATTTGTTTTAAAAATTTGTATCAGACTACAGAATTAACACAAGGATATATATTTACAATTATTTAAAAATGTGTCTGAACTGGGATTTCTATTTAGACATTTTGTGTTCTTTTTTAATAAATACGTACGAAACATTTTCTTCTGGATGTAGAGGAAAGAAGAAAAAAAAGTACAGAAAAACTGAAGATAAAAAAAACGAACTGAAAGTGAAAATACTATTAAGTCGTGTTGGAATCGGATACTTGATAAATATAGGAGGATTTATAATTGTTTGTTTTACAAATAGAGACACCGAAGATGAAGGGGACATTGCATTCTTTTTGTTTTGTTTTATTGTTATATATACAGTGTGCTTCTATGCATTTATAACATTTTTGCTTGTTTACAGAATATGCATGTTCTCTAGTAAAAAAGAACTTTTATCTGACAGCAGATTTGAGCGTTTTATGATGATATACCGTTGTTTAGAAATTTTATTCGATCTAGTAGTTTTACTGTACAGCTTAATTTTGTCCGAATGGGAAATGACAGAATTCACTATTGCAACAACGGCATTGTCAGTTTCGGATATTGTCGTTAATGTTTTAATAGTTTTGAAAAACTGTTGTGACTGCTATAATGAAGAAGACTCCGATGATTTTGGCATTGAAGATCAACAACGGGGAGAAGACAATAAAGCTATTACATTGGAAATTGAAACTGATAAGGTATGCTTTTCTGGTGTTACGGATCAAACTTTTTAAACTCTTTATCCCAAAATCTTTTTTGTCTAATCAATAACGATAAATGATAGAGAGCAAAAATGAAGATGTTAATTATTTGACTCTAACACTACACAGTTGCTGATTTGTAATGGCTAAAAGTGAGAGTCTATATGTTTCTTGTCACATGCATACTGTAAAAAGTGTACGTTTGTCATTATATGTTAACACATCTTAAATGAGCTCTAAGTAAAACTCTCTTGAATATGCAAGATTAGATGAATCTATATATATAAAATTGAGAATGGAAATGGGGAATGTGTCAAAGAGACAACAACCCGACCATAGAGCAGACAACAGCCGAAGGCCACTAATGGGTCTTCAATGCAGCGAGAAACTCCTGCACCCGGAGGCGTCCTTCAGCTGGCCCCTAAACAAATATGTATACTAGTTCAGTGATAATGGACGTCATACTAAACTTTAAATTATACACAAGAAACTAAAATTAAAAATGATACAAGACTAACAAAGGCCAGAGGCTCCTGACTTGGGACAGGCGCAGAAATGCGGCGGGGTTAAACATGTTTTTTTGAGATCTCAACCGTCCCCCTTTACCTCTAGCCAATGTAAAAAAAACAAACGTACAACAGTACGCACAGTAAAACTCAGTTTAAGAGAAGTCCGAGTCCGATGGCAGAATAGGAAACAAAAGAAAATAAACAAAATGACAATAATACATGAATAACAACAGACTAATAGCAGTTACTGACATGCCAGCTCCAGACCTCATTAAACTGATTGAAAGATTATGTCTTCATCATATGAATATCAGGCACAATCCCTCCTGTTAGGGGTTTAGTATTATACCATCATAAAATATATGAGAAGAACATAACCCGTGTCATGCCAACAACTGGTTTTAGAATAAATATGTTTAATTCCGATGCAAAGACTCTATAAGTGAATCAATATTAAAGCCAAAATATGCAATCTTTGATGACCTGACAACAGTATCGTAACTATATCCCTTCTTAATAAGTCTGTTTAAAGGTTTTGTTAGCTTTTGAGGTGAATACTGACTATTTTGTGCTTTGTAAAGAATATTACCATAAAAGATTGGATGCGAAATACCCGAACGTATAAGATGTCTGCATGTTGAGTTATATTTACGAATGATGTCCTTATACCGATGATAACATTTAGTAAATGTTTTGACTAGTTTATGATATCGAAAACCCTGGTGTAATAATTTTTCAGTAATACATAAATTTCTCTTGCTAAAATCTAATACGTTGTTACATACACGGGCGAATCGTACAAGTTGAGATATATAAACACCATAAGATGGTGACAAGGAAACGTCACCATCTAAAAATGGATAATTAACGATAGAAAATGAAAAATCATCTCTTTTATCATAAATTTTTGTATTAAGCTTCCCGTTAATGATATAGATATCAAGATCGAGGAAAGGACAGTGGCCATTGTTAGTATTAGCTTTGTTTAAAGTAAGTTCAACAGGATAAATTTCTTTAGTATACATACTGAAGTCGTCATTATTGAGAGCCAATATTTCATCCAAATATCTAAAAGTATTGTTAAATTTTTTGTATCAGATGTTGTTTCGATGGGTCTTTGCTGATTTTAGTCATATATTGTAGCTCATAACAATACAAAAACAGGTCCGCAATAAGTCGTGCACAGTTAGTTCCCATTGGAATTCCGATAACTTGACGATATACGGAATCTCCAAAGCGAAACAATTGTTATGAAGTAAAAACACTGAAGAGACATTAATTGTCGAAATCCGGATATGGCGTACAAATATTTGCACATTGTGTTTGCGGTATACCATCTTTTCCGCAAGTTTATTGTTTTTCTGTTTGGAATTTAATTAATAATAAGATCTATTTTGTTACATCTTGTGATCCGTTTGTTTGGCAATCGCCAATGGCAGTCAGCAGGTTTAAGAACATCAGTTGTTCGACCTTCTAGTCAAATGCGTTTTGTTAAAATATACATTTTCACTCATTTAGTCTTTTGAAAAATGTTGTTTGTGTTGTATTTAGACCCCTCTACCAAGAAATTTGTTTTGCATGCACACGTATAAAAATTGCGGTTTTTATCAAACGCAATCATAGGTTAGAACGTTGTTTTCAATTTAGACTTGTTTATATATTTTCGTTTGGGCTTGTATTATATTTGCCTTCGGGTTTATATGATCCGTTAATCCTATTTTGACTCTTTCAAAATTCAAGAGTCTATCCTAAATTGAGGTAAATTATATGGCCTTCCAAATACCGTTTCGATTCCTAACATCACTGAAGAGACATTAATTGTCGAAATCTGGATATGGTGTACAAATATTTGCATCTCGTGTTTGCCATATACCATCTTTTCCGCAAGTTTATTGTTTTCTGTTTGGTATTAAATTAATAATAAGATCTATTTTGCTACATCTTGTGATCCGTTTATTTTGCAATCGGCAATGGCAGTCAGCAGGGTTTAAGAACATAAGTTGTTCGACCTGCTAGTCAAATGCGTTTTGTTAAAATATACTTTTTCACTCATTTGGTCTTTTGGAAAATGTTGTTTGTGCTGTATTTAGACCCCTCTACCAAGAAATTTGTTTTGCATGCACACGTATAAAAATTGCTGATACCTTTGACGGTAAATATTATAAAATTGACTCTTTATTCTGTTTTACATTCAATGTTTATTATGCTTTCATAATTATCCGTATAATATAATAATCGCACCAGACCAATTTCTTACATCACCGTATTTATTGTACAAAGTGACTGCCTTTAATTTCTGCTCCAATATTTCAACACATGCTCCATGGACGACAATTAATGTTCCGAGGGAATCGAGACATACCACTGTCAATTTACCAACACACTGACTAATGTAACCATTCTGGTGGAATATTCAAAAACGTCACAGACTAGTTGCAAGTTTCCGACTCGGAACAGATAGATCTACTGATCAAGTGGCTTGCGCCAGAGTCTGCTAAACATGCCATTAGCATAAGAGCGTCGAACGCCAATTGCCCTACAAAAGGCCTACAGAGACTATGGCAGAGACTCGACGAGCGGTATGGTACTCCAGAAATGTTGGAGGCGTCTCTCACGAGCAAACTTGTCAACTTTCTAACATTGAATAACAAGGACAATGCACGTGTTTACGAACTGTGTGATATTCTATCAGAAATAGAATATCAAAAGGAAAATCTAAAGCTGGAATTTCTTCTTGCTTATTTTGACTCACCGTCTGGAATTAACCCTATCATTGAAATGCTTCCCTATGGACTTCAGGAAAAGTGGATAACAAGAGCATCTAGATATAAATCAAACCACGACATTGCCTTTCCGCCTTTCACAGAACTCTCTGCCTTCATTAGAGAAATTAGCAATATAAAAACGATCCTGGGTTCATCTTTGGGTCAAAAGTCACACCAAATACAAAAGGTGCTGCGCCAAGGTGCACGTCTCTCCATAAAGCTAAAGTTGGTGCCCATAAAACAGCAGTTTAGCAACAATCTAGAGATGCCACCAAACAAGGTCTTTGCATTCTGCACTATACCAAGCATTCCTTAAATGAATGTCGAGCGTTCCGAGCCAAGTCAATAGAGGAACGCAAAGGTCTTTTGAAACAGAAAGTGTTGCGATTCCGCCACACACAGAAGTCGATAATGCAATGCACGCATCAGTTGTAAAGGATGTGGAAGTAAACAACACACACCCGCACTTCACATCACTAGACCACAACCACCTTCAAGCTGTCAGTCTAGCTCGCCTAGACGGGAGCCGACAGAATCGGCTGAAACTAAGTCAACTTCAGTTAATTCTACCTGCACAGAAATCTGCAAGGACCCATATAGCGGAAAATCCTGTGCTAAAATATTACATGTGAATGTGTATCACAAGGACAAATGGAATAAGACTATACGGATGTATGCAATTATTGACGACCAAAGCAACCGGTCTCTTGCCTCGACAAATTATTCATTTTTTTTTGACGTACGAGAAAAGCCGGTAAACTATACCCTATCAACATGCTCCGGCAAAGTAATTACTTCTGGGAAAAGAGGAAGAAGGTTTCATTATGGAATCAATACATGGTAATGAAAGATTTGACTTGCCTGTACTAATAGAATGTGATCACATTCCCAATAATAGGGACGAAATTCCTACTCCTGAAGTCACAATGCATCATTCTCATTTAAAACAGCTCAGAAGAAGCATTCCACCAATAGAGGAACATTGCCAAATTCTACTCTTTATTGGAAGAGACCTGATAGAGGCACACCACGTCCTTGACCAGCGCATAGGACCACCTAGAACTCCATATGCACAACAATTGGAACTGGGTTGGGTAGTAATTGGAGAGACTTGCATTAACAAACAGCACGTGCCTCTAGAATCAAACGTAAAAATTACGAACATTTTACCTACAGGACAACCATCAACGTTTCAACCATGCACAAGCAAGTTTGACAAAATTACACAAACCCTGTAAAGAAGGACTTGCAATCACCACTCTTTGAAAAAAACTAGGGACGATGATAAACCTGGAACGTCATATGAAGACAAAATGTTCATGAAGCAGATGAACAACGAATTTGTGAGAAACTCAAACGGAAGTTGGAAAGCAGCGTTACCGTTCCAAGTGCCAAGACAGCCATTGCCTAGCAACAGCCAAGAAGTTCTTTGTCGTGCCGATCTGTTAGACGCCAGTCTTAGTAGGAACCCAGTAAAACGAGAACACTTTCTCGCATTTATGAGCAAGATTCTGGACAACAATCACGCTTGCTCCACCATTGGACGACCACGAAGAGTGCTGGTATTTACTATTATTTGGTGTTTATCTCCCTAAGAAACCCGATCAGATCAGGGGTATGTTTGATTCTTCCACCAAATGCAACGGAGTATCACTTAACGGTGTCCTGCTGACAGGCCCAGGCTTGAACAATGATCTCCTGGGAGTATTATTGCGTTTCAGGA